GAGTCGAGAGCGCGATCAGGGCGCCGGCGCGGAGCAGGCGGAGGGTCCGCGGCGCGCGCGCGGGGGCGTAGGGGGCCGCGGTATTGCCAAGGACGCCGCCCGCGTGCGCGCGCCCGGGCCGCTCCGTTGTTGGCCCCCCCCCCACCCCTGCACACACCCCATGTCGCCGGCCGCCCGGGGCGCCGGGCGTCCTGCCTTGCGCGCGCACGCGCCGGCAGGCCGCTGGCCATACCCCTGCGACTGCTGCTCCCGCCTCACCACGCGCGCGTATGCCGAGACGGCGGTGCGGGACCCGTCGTCGAGGTACCCGTTGGTGCCGCCCCCCCAGCGCGTGAAGGCGTCCCCGACCTGCTTGAGGGCCCTGCCGGCCTCAGAGGTAAGGCTGTGCTTCAGCTGCCTCGCGGCGAGTGCCTGGTGCGCCTGGCACGCGAGGACGGCCAGGCACAAGGCCAGCGAGATCAGGGACGTGGAGCTGCGCGCCATGGCCACGAAACTACGGATAAAATGTCGTGAAGAAGATGTTCGAATACCAGGAGCCTGGAAACGCTCTGGGAAATGGACGCGGCAAACGCGTGGAATCGCGGGTGACAACGAGTGTGCTGGCGGCACCGGGCTGCAACGCAACGTGCGCAACGGTTATTGATGACTTTCGACTAGTTTGCCATCTTCTACGGGGCTTTACCAAGGGGTGATGAACGGTGCAGGTAACTGCCCCAGTGACAGCCCACACGCCAGCTTGGCTGCACAAGGGAGCCGGAGCGCAATATCCGACGCCCGGGCCGCCAAGAGGCTGGAAAGGTGTCTTTTACACTGTTACATGGTGACCGGGACTGAACAATCAACGGCGCAGGGCACCACCAGGTACTAGTCTGGGTTGAGTTAGCTCGGCAATCATCCATGTGCGGGTGGGACTGGGGCCGAAAGACACGCGAGGCGCGCCCCTGCGCTATACGTCGGTGGAAAAGGCAGGAAATATCAGCGCCTGACTGCCCTGCTCTGGGCTTGCCGTCAGGTGGGTCGGCAAAACACGGGCATGGCAATACGAGCGATGCTCATTCATTCATCATCACATGACGTCACCTGTCCTTTTTTGTCGAGCCGTCGCCGCGCACAGAACCGCTTTATCGCAGCAGCACGCAAGCACGCGCACGGGCCGGCCTTTTCTGACGCGCCATCATCACCATGCTGCGAGCGCGAGCTGGCGCAAACCCGCGGAGGGAGGGGCGAAATAGACAACCTCCGTCGGCAAGCCCAGCCAGGTGGCCTTACTGCCAGTCGTACTCGACTCTTGCCTGCGGCCTCAGCAGCGACACAATGTCGAAAGAAAGTGATCTAATAACACCAATAAAAACAGCATATAGCAGGTCAACAAATCCATGCTTGCGCCACACTGTGGCGCGCAGCAGCACCCAGCAGAGTGCCCAGACCCGACCCACGCTTTCACACCGCGGCGCGCCTGCCACCGTCTGCGGGACCTTCGACGCCCGGCGATCCCTGCCGCGCGCCGGCGCCAGCGCCGGCCGCACCCAGCAGCTGATCCAAGAGATCTTCTATCATACTGGGCGCCTCCACAATGGCACCAGGGTTGGCGCAGCCGGCCGCATGCGCCGGCGCCGCCCCTCCCACCACCTCCCCTCCGTTCACACCGCCCCAAAACCCGCCCAACCCGGACGGCTGCCACGGCTCACCCGCCGCCGGCAGCGACCGCCGCGCCGCCGCTGTCGCCGCGGCCACCGCGGCGGCGGGACTCAGCGCCGCCGGCAGCGAGTGGCGTCGTGGCGCGGGCGCAGGCGCGGGCGTGGTCGCGGGCGCGGTCGCGGGCGCCTCGCGGCCAGCGATGGCTGCGATGAGGGCGTCCCCGGCCGGTCCTCTGAGGGCGAGGTCGACATACTTGTCCACCCTGGCCAGCAGCGCGGCGTCGATGGCGGACTGCAGCCGCGGACTGGCCACCAGCTCGCTCACGCGCCGCTCGACGGCTTGCTGCAGCCGCAGCGCCAGCGCCGGGCCCACGCCCAAGGGCGGCACCGCGGCTGCGGGCGGCGGCGCGGCGGGCGGCGGCGGCAGTGCGGGGGGTGCGTACACGCGCGGGGCGGGCGGAGTCGGGGGGAGGGAAGCGAGGCCGGAGGCCTGAGCTGCCTGCAGCACAGCGGCGAGCAGAGCGGGGGCGGCAGCGGCAGCGTGCGGGCCGCCGTGCGGCTGCTGCTGCGGCAGCACCGCGTCTGCGAGCGCCTGCAGCAGCTTTGGCAGGTTGCCTGTCAGCAGTTGGTCGCTCGCGGCCGCGCCGGCCAGCACGTCCGGGCTCGCGTACCGCGCCGCCGTCGATGCAGGCCCCGCGCGCGGCGCGGCGGCGGCGGGGGTCGTGCCTCTGCGGCGGCTGGCGCTGTGCGTGGCCCCGGCAACACCCTCGCCGCTGTCTCCATGCTGCTGCTCCTCCTGCTGCTGCTGCTGCTGCTGCTGCTGCTGCTGCTGCTGCTGCTGCTGCTGATGCTGATGCTGCTGTGGCTGCTGATGCTGCTGATGCCACTCTGCCTCGCCTTGGCCCTCTAGCAACTCCCCGTAGCCCCCGGGCTGCCCCTCCTCTAGTTGTTGCTGGAGGCGCCGGTCGAGCAGGCCAGGCGCCTGCTGCTGCTCGTCGGCCCATTGGTGCTCCTGCTCCTGCTGCTGCTGCTGCTGGTGGTGCTCCTGCTCCTGCTCCTGCTGCTCCTGCTGCTGCTGTTGCTGCTGCTGCCGCTCTTGCTGCTGCTCCTGCTCCTGCTGCTGCTCCTGCTCCTGCTCCTGCTGCTGCTGCTGCCCCTTCTGCTGTTCACGCTCCTCCAGCGCCTGCCTCGTTGCCTGTGGCGGCCGAGGCGGCTGCTGCTGCTCTCCGCCCAAGCCATCCACCTCCATGGCTGTGGTGCCAGCGCCCTCAGCACCCGCCAGCCCCACAGGCGCAGGGGCCGCGCCCGCCAGCTGTCGAGCGGGCTCAGGCAATGGTTGCGGGTGCGCCGCATGGCGTTGCCCCACACCCGCGCCGTCTGACGCCGCAGGACGCGCGGCCGCTGCCTCTTCGGCCGGGGCACCTGACTTGTGCGCAGCCGGAGCGCCCCTCACCCCCACGCCACCACCGCCGCCGTCGTCGCTGCCGTCCCTTGTGGCGCAGCTGCTGGCTGGGGACGCCCTCCCATTGCACAACGGCGCCCGGCGGCGCTTCAAGGCCCGACCGCAGCCTCCGCCCTCGAAAGGCGCCCCGGCGCCGTGGCTACCCGGGGGTGCCGACCCGGGGACGGCGTGCTCGCCGCAGCTGCCGCCCCGATTCGATCGCGCGCCTGGGCTGCTGCCGCGGTCGCCAGCGGCCGCTGAGGCAACAACCGCCGCATCTTGCTCCTGCGCCGTCGTGGCTGCCTGCTGGCTGCCCAATGCTGCACCCGATGCGTGCTTGCTGCCCGGCACGTTTTCCTGCCCTGCACTCCCGGGCTCCTGGCTTGCCTTGCGTTCAGGTGATCGAAGCTCCTCTTGACCCCGCTGCCCTTCCTGCTCCTGACGCTGCTGCTGCTGCTGCTGCTGCCCCTGCTCTTGCTGTTGCCCCTGCTCTTGCTGCTGCCGCTGCTGCTGTTGTTGCCGCTGCTCTTGCCGCTGCTCTTGCTGCTGCTGTTGCTGCTGCTGTTCCTGCCCTTGGTCCTCCTCCTCCTCCTGCTGCTGCTGCTGCTGCTGCTGTTCTTGCTCCTGCTGCGACGGCGGCGGCAGCAGGGACTCCCGAGGCGAGCCGCGCCGCCGCTTCTGCGGCCGCCCTTCATCGCCCGCGTGCACGCTGCCCGCCGCTGAAACCACATCCTCTTCGTGCTGCTGCAGCTGCTGCTGCTGCTGCAGTGGCTGCTGCGGTAGCAGCAGCGGCTGGGTGTGCCCGTCGGCCGCCTGCGTGCACCGTCTGGCGTCCAACTCAGCGCCCCAGCTCTCCCCATCTCCCCACCGCCCGCCGTCCTCCTCCAGGGCCCCGCCTGTCCCGCCGCCGCCACCGCCACCCGCCGCCCGCTCCACCCCGCCGGCCGCCGCCGGCGGCCGCGCGGCGCCGCCGGCGCCTCCCAGCGCCGCGACGGCCGCTTGGGTCACGGCGATCGCGCCGGCGGCCGCTTCCGCTGCCGGCCGCACGAGGCGGACTGGGTTTGGCAGGTCTGGGGACTCCTCGTCGCGCGGTTCCCAAGCCAGGGCGCGCTTGATCGCGGCCCACACGCCGTCCCACGTCACCGCGCGGCGCGCGCGCGCAGCGGACTCCACCTCGGTCTGCAGGGCCTGCGGGCGGCGACGCGCGCGGCGCCGCGCGGCGGGCGGCGGGCGGCGGGGGCAGTCAAGAGCAGGACCTCATAGGGCGCGCCCAGGGACAGGCGCGGCGTCGGCCCCTGGCGGCGCGCCGCCCCTGGCAGAGGGGGCCGTCTTGCAGAGACCCCCTGCGGCCGCAAGTCGCTGCCACGGCCGTCCTTCCCTCCCCCGCTC